ATCGCAACGTGATTTTGCGAACCCCACTCCACCACAATGGTGCGCGTGTTGACCCTAAAAATGAGCAAGGGTAATCTATTCGGAATGGGTATATTATTTGGTAGAGCCCGTTATAAATACAGATGGATCAGATTAATTTTTAACTAAATATTAGCAGCTCGCATTTTTTCACACACACATTCACGATGATGGGTTGCCGTTTATAGCGCCTAAAAATGTCGGCTGCAAAGCACAATATCTTTTAAAAACTATTTATTAAAGCAAATATATTTTGCAACAATTTATTACTGCACATATATTTAAATACTATATTACTGCAAAATTATCTTTATTTATTTATTTGAAATTCGTCATCACATTTTTATTTTCATCCAAAACCGATGTGCGATGAAGCGACGGTGGTGACGTTCGTTGGCGATGGGAACTACGTAGGCGATGGCGGTGAATTGCTACAACGTTTGTGGTAATGCCTGCGTGTCGAGCTCTGCTAGCACTGGTCATGAGCTAATCCATGGACGGTGGTCGTGGTGTCAGGGAGTTTGCAACATGGAAGATGATCCGTAACTGTCCTGGTCGGTACGTTATCAAGAACAAGAAGAGTACCCCTTTCTTGATCGACGGAGTGCCAGTGACCTCCATCGATACTGGTGACGTTGTGAGGCAAGCTCTTGGAACGACAGGACGTGAAGTACCTACGATCGTTGTCCATGACTTAGAGAGCCCACGCTGTGTCGACCGTGTCAATGTTGTGGTATTCGGAGCGGAAGGTTGCGGTGGAGGGGTCATCACCTACTGCAAGCAAGAACAAGATGGCAATGCTATCTATGTACACACACTCAACACGGCATCGGGGTTATGCAGAAAGCTAGGTGGACTGCAGATAGACCACGTGCTCAAACTCTAAACTCTAGAGTGGTCACGCCGGTGAAGATACAGATAATTCCTGCGCTCATTCTCACATTGGCATCGTTGACGGGTGATGTGGATGGAAGTCAAATGAAATGTATTGCGGTTAGAAGTTGGAAGGATGTGATCTATGAGCTAGCAGAACTGAATGCAAAGAAAATGGCAATCTCAACTGTCAAAGCGATGACACGGTACCTTGGTATTACCGATGGACCAAAGTGCCTTCATGTTCACCAACTCACTCAGCAAAGCTGGAGGACATGTACAGCGCCCACGAACGAGACAGACCGTCGTCCATCTTGGCCTTCTGCAACACACCCAGCGCCCGCTGTTTATCCACCATGGCGAAGTTGGCGTACAGCAGCGACAGCCACGCGTTGCCTGTATCTTCACGCGTGACGATGGCCTCCTTGCCCAGTACTTGCTCCCACTCCTCCTTGACGAATTGTTTGGTGCGCACGAACTCGGTCACAGCCGACACGGGGATCATCTGGATACCGTGGATGCAGTACTTCTCGGCGCTGAACCACGTGGCGTAGTCCACCTTGTTGTCGAAGAAGATGCCCGTGACCTTGTTGGGACGGAAGTTGGCAGGGTGGATCTGGTTGGCGTCTTCGATGAGGAAGTACGTCTTGATGGCGTGTGCGTTGACGCGAGTCATGAGCTTACCGACGGCCTCCATAGCGGCGTTGTTGGTGGCTTTACCGTACATGTACATACCGAAGGCGAAGTTGACGTCCTCGGACGTGCTCTCTTGGTCCTTACCGTCTGCGAACGGGGTGACACCGTGTGAGTACGAGTGTCCACGGTACCAGTCAAAAGAACGGAATCGCGCGAAGAATTTGTCGTCCGGGTCGAAGTTGGCGACGTCGCGTACCAATAGGTTGACCAAAGTGTTGAGTTTGGGGAGGTCACTCCAGCTCGGGTCCAGACGGTTGATGATGGCCGCCGTGTGGATCCAGTAGCCGTAGTGAAAGTGGTGATCGTTGTACATGGTGTTGCCGAAGTCAGCGTTGAGGTCTTTGGTCTTGAATCCCTGCGAGCTGACGATGCCGCCGTAAATTTTGTCGTACTGGAGCTTGTTGGTCCAGGAATTAGCCACGAACGGAGCCATCACACCTCGAAGCTTATTCAGACACGAGTTCAGGAGACTTTTGTCGCCTCCTACGATGGCTGGGTCGTTCGCGATCAGACAGAGTGACGCGTACTTCTGCGCAGCCTTGCCGTTGAAGTAGTAGCTACCATCGAGAGGAATGGACCACCCGGCATTGATGTCTTCGCGGAGGTGGTCGAGGATACGCTGTTGCTGGGCCATAGTGGACGCGATCTTACGGGACGGGTAGAAGTCTTCGGGCACTTGTTGAGCTTCCTTGATCTCCCACACGGGGTCGGCTGAGCCTCCAGGTGTCGTGAAAGCCTGATACGCTCCACGAGTCGTTGAGTAGGCCACCATGCCGTCCATCTGGCGGACTCCGCTGCTCTTGTCAATGGTTTCAGTGTGGTGCTTCATAGCGTAGTGCAGCAAACCACAAGAGCAATCACCCGTCGTCTTCCACTTGAACGCGTAGGAGCTGTCATCATGAAGGTCGATGTTTGCGGCTTGAACGATGCAGGACTTGTGTTCATCCAGCGTAGTCAACCAGGAACTTTCAAGTACCATAGCAACACGAAGAATACCGTCAAAGACGCCCGTGCTCTTGAGAGCAGAATTACCGTCAGCCGTGAGAGTGATCTCCTTTTCACTGCGACCATCACTCGACAGCGCGTAGACAACCCACTTCTGGCCGGAGTTGTAGACGATCTCGAACTTAGAACCGCGGACTTGACCACCCATTGGCTGACCGTTGATAGTGGAGATTGCAGCACTTGACACCAGTCGAGGGGTGAGACCCGAGTACTTCATCGAAGAGTACACCATGCCAGACACCAAGTCCGACACCATAGTGCCACTGGACGATCCGGCAGTGAACTTGACGGTCACTCCCTGGTCGGCCCAGTCCACGACTTGGAAGTTGGGCTTCTGCCACACGATCTCCTCGGCCGAAAACACGAACTCGCGAACCATACCGTGAGCGTAGAACTTGACGGCTCCGTTGTTGCCAGAGCTGCCACCGCTGAAGCGGCTGCGATACGGGTAGCTGACGGACATGCCGAACGGAGCCTTGTCAACGACCATCTGCAACGAGTACGGATTGGACCAAATGGGTTGGATGGCAGCGTTGGAGTCGTGCGCAATGATGTTGCCCCACCAATTGTTGGTGGGGATGGCGCGGTTCTTGATCACGGACGAGTCGAGAAAGCGAGGTGGACACAATCCCATCATGGCGTCGGTATGCTCGACGAGGTAGCTGGGAGGTTCCGAGGCATGAAATCCGGACGGATTCTCATCGCCAACGTCAGGATTTGATGCCGAGGAGTTGGTGAAGCCGACATCTCCTGCGTCCGGTTCGGTGTTGTTCACCACAGGCGCAAACGTGGGTGCCACAACGGGTGAATCATTGCTGAAGCTGGAGCTGCCGTTCTTGTCGATGGCTTGACCAGCAACTGCAGAGAAGTGCAGATGATGAAGAACTGCACTAAGCCCAATGAAAGCTGACGCAGAAATCTTCATGCTCGTCCAAGTCGTAGTCGGTTACTGATGACCTTGGTTGCGGATGAGATGTCGAAATGACAAGTGAGGTTTGAGAAGGAACGAGTCATGGCTTGCTTTCTCGAGGGGAGCTATCAATGGCCATGAGGTGCCGCAGTAGCGAGCTGCCACTAGCGATCGTAGATCAACTTGCGTCAATGCTTGACGATCAACTGGAGCTTTGCAACTGAAGCACTACCCGGTCAGCTGAGTAATTGGGAGGTCGACGATGGAGTTCAAGTTGCTTCTAACAATTGACTTGCACAATCTGATTCTGGTGCAGAATCAGCTGTAAAATGAAATGTTAGAGCCACAGTGTAACAATGTGTTGCAGTCAGACACGCAACAAATTAACATCATCACCAAAACAGACAAATGTGAATTGAGTCATGAACATTTTCTCAGTTTTGAGCAACAGTAAAGTGACAAAGGAATTAGTTGGTCGTACCTTGCCCCTTTCTCGTAGCTGCAGGATCCACAACCAACATACTTACTATTAATTGCGCTTAGACCCAAGCATACTTCTCGTTGCAGAACCAGAGAGGCAGAGCTGTCGTTGCCTCTTGAGTGTCCCCACGGCGAAACACCGTAGCACTCGACAGAGAAAGTTTGCGCTCTGCAACCTCAATCTCAAGGAGACGGCGTATTTCGTCGCGCACCAAACCAGACGGCGGGTCCCAGACCACGACCTTCTTCAGCTTGAACTTGCGTGCTTCTTGCAGTGCCGCGTTCAGCAAAACACGCGTAGTCGCAGCAGCATTGTCACCGGAATCTGGGAATCGAGCTCGACTGACGTACAGCGTCGACTCCTTCAAGTTGTGCCACCAAAGCACGAAAGCGTTGTCGTTAACCTTGACACCACAACATGATGGAAGCTCGTCGAATCCTACCACTCGAGCATAGTGCATGCCGTTGATGAACTGCCACTCGATCGAGTCGCGTGTCGGCAGGATCAAGAACGCCTTACGCTCTTGGAACTTTTCACTTGACAGTTCCGTTATCAACCGGGCATTATCAGCCTCCAGAAACTTGGCCAGGTTATCGTCGAGAAGCATCGTCTCCAGCTCAACGTTGCTATCGTCAGTAGCAACGTTTTGAGGGTGGTCAACCTCCAGCGTAGCTGCCTTGGACGGATGATATTTCCACCCAAGCTTGTCGTAGAACGTCGGCCCAACGTCCGAGTACAATACGGAGATCAGAGGTTTCGGTAGTTTCTCCAATTGTTTGGCCACTTCCGTCAAGAAGAAACTCGCAAGCCCACGCTTGCGGAAGTCCGGGAGTGTGTAGACCGAACTGATTTGATACGAGTATCCACGCTCTACTTCCCCGGAGATTTTGCGATAGACACAATCGAAACGGAGGGTCTTGCAGTGACAGTAGAGTAGATCTCGACCCGCTACGAGACCCGCATCACTCGTGGACGAATCCTTCTCAGTTCTGTCCACGAGAGCCCAGTAGAGTGCCCCTGCTTGGGAAAATGGGGAGACACGCTGCGCTTCGTCCTTTCGCTGCCATTGCTCGACAGTTAATAGAGGCGCTCCCCAGTGCTCGTGGTCGTCGGTCTTGCACTGCACCTTAAGCGCCTCCTGCGTTAGCTGCACCAGACGGAACTTCTCCATCGCGAAGTGGGGCGGTTCGACACGGCGCATTCAATGATGTGTCATCAAAAAGTTTGATTTTTTGATTAAGTACGATCATGTTGAAGTGGCTACGGTTATCGCAACATTGCGATATCCATCGGTGTTGTAGTTTTCTTCTAGACCCAGGCATACTTCTCGTTCGCCAGCCAGTAAGGAAGAAAACTTGCAGAATCAACGCCACCTCTATGATGAAACATCATGGCACTCGACAGCGAGTCCTCGCGATCGACGAACTGAATGTCAAGGTAATTGCAAACTTCGGTATCAGCTAAGAATGAAGGGGGATCCCAGAAAGCCACTTTGTTCAGCTTGAACTTGCGAGCCTCCTTCAACGCTTCGTTTAACAGCAAACGAGTGGTCTCTGCAGCGTTCTTGTCACCCTCCGGGAGCCGAGCTCGAACCACATACAGCGTCGACGCCTTCAAGTTGTGGCACCAAACGATGAAGGCATCCTCGCTGATTTGCGCGCCGCAGCGCGATGGAAGCTCCTCGTATCCTCGAATTTGAGCAAAGTACACGCCAATACAGAACTGCCACTCAATAGAATCGCGAGTGGGTAGAATTACAAACGCCTCCCGTCCTTTAAACCGATCACTTGACAGCTCCTTCAACAACTTCGAATTGTCAGCTTGAAGAAAATGGTCAAACTTCTCATCCAGAGTCAGCGACTCCAGCTCTGCACTGCTGATGCAGTCACTTTTGGTGTTAAGGGAGTGTGTAACATCCAAAGTCGCCATTTTGGAGGGATGCAGCTTCCACCCAAGCTTGTCATAGTATTTTGGTCCAATGTCTGAGTACAGCACCGACACCAGCGACCCTGGTAGCTCTCCCAACTGTTTCGCCACTTCACTAATGAAAAATTTGGCGAGTCCTCGCTTGCGGTGCTGAGGCAGTGTGAAAACCGACCCGATATGGCGCGAGTAACCCCGTTCAATCTCCCCAGAACTGCGGCGAACAGCGCAGTCAAATTGGTGGCTTTCGCAGTGGCAATAGAGCACTGTCTGACCAGCCACCAGGTTCGAGTCCCCAATGTCTCCTGTATCTTCCACAAGAGCCCAAAAGATAGAACCTCGCTGGGAAAACGGGGTTTCGCGTTGCAACTCCTCCTTGCGTTGGTATTGAGGCAGATCTAGCGTTGGAGCTCCCCACTCCTCGAAGTCGTCTACTTTGCATTGGACTTTGAGCGCCTCCTGCGTCAACTGCACCACCCGGAATTTGGACATCGTCGCCTCCAACGCGAAAAAACTTATTGAAACCCAAATAAATAACTTTAATAAAAAGCGTTTTTGAACACTAAAAAAAGTGTTTCTCTATAGAAAAACACTTTTTATTAATCGTACTTAGTCGCAATCATATCGTCTTATGTCCGATTTGTAGCGTGGTGTGTACACTCGGTTCCGCTAGCCAATCGCGTGTAAGATTCCTGTGTGGCGACCAAATCTTCCTTGGTTCGAGTGCCCCGAAGCTCGTCCTCTCGACCCGGTAACCATGAACGGCATGATGGTACGTCCCGCTGCCTTCCTCTCTCTCTCTACTATCCTTTAATCTGCACTCTCTTTTCCGCTGAGCAGCAACCCCAGATTATCCTGCTGAAGGAAGGCACGGACACGAGCCAGGGCAAAGCCCAGCTCATCAGCAACATCAATGCGTGCCAGGCCGTGATGGAGGCCGTGCGCACGACGCTTGGTCCTCGCGGTATGGACAAGCTTATTCATACTGGGGGCAAGACTACCATCTCCAATGATGGCGCCACCATCATGAACCTGCTGGACGTGGTGCACCCGGCAGCCAAGACGCTCGTGGATATCTCGCTCTCGCAGGACGCCGAAGTGGGGGACGGCACTACGTCTGTTGTACTTCTGGGTGCCGAGTTCATGCGCCAGGCCAAGCCTTTCGTTGAGGAGAACATGCACCCGCAGATGATCATTAAGAGCTTCCGCAAGGCCGGCCAGCTTGCAGTGGAGAAGATCAAGGAGATTGAGATCCGTGTGGCTGACTCGGACGAGGTCGGACGCCGCCAGATGCTGGAGCGTGTCAGCGGTACCGCTCTCAACTCGAAGCTCATCTCGCGTCACAAGCAGTTCTTCTCCCCCATGGTAGGGCGCACCTATTAAGGGACAAGATGATGCTTTTTATGCTGATATTGTTGTGTGTTTAATTGCAGATTGTGGACGCTGTGCTGAGTCTTGATGAGGGTCTGGACATCAGTATGGTTGGTGTTAAGAAGGTTCCCGGTGGATCAGTGACCGATTCGTTCTTGGTGAAGGGCGTCGCGTTCAAGAAGACGTTCTCGTACGCTGGATTCGAGCAGCAGCCCAAGACTTTCGTGAACCCGAAGATCTTGCTGTTGAATGTTGAGTTGGAGCTCAAGTCGGAGAAGGAGAACGCTGAAGTGCGTCTGGACGACCCCACCAAGTACCAGTCTATTGTGGACGCCGAGTGGAACATTATCTATGAGAAGCTGGAGCTGTGTGTGAAAAGCGGAGCCCAGATTATCCTGTCCAAGTTGCCTGTGGGTGACTTGGCTACACAGTACTTCGCTGACCGCGGTCTCTTCTGCGCTGGCCGTGTTGCTCAGGACGATATGGAGCGTACGCAGCGTGCCACTGGCGGTGTGGTGCAGACGTCGGTGCACGACATGAACCCGTCAGTACTTGGATCGTGTGGCCGCTTCGAGGAGCGTCAGGTCGGTAACGAGCGGTACAACATCTTTATGGAGTGCGCTGAGGCCAAGAGCTCCACGATTGTGCTGCGTGGCGGTGCCGAGCAGTTCATTGAAGAGGCTCACCGGTCGGTACACGATGCGCTGATGGTTGTAAAGCGTGCGGTGGCATCGTCTACTGTCGTGGCTGGTGGTGGTGCAATTGAGATGGAGATTTCTCGTCACCTGCGCCAATACGCGCGCACTATTGAGGGCAAGGCACAGCTGCTGGTGAATGCCTATGCTAAGGCGTTCGAGATCATCCCTCGTCAGATCGCTGAGAACGCCGGCCATGACGCGACAGATATCCTGAATCACCTGCGCCAGAAGCACTTCAAGGACCCCGAGGACGGCAAATGGTTCGGCGTCGACATCACCACCGGCGGCATCTGTGACACATACGAGTCGCACGTGTGGGAACCTGCAGCTAACAAGATTAACTCGATCGCAGCGGCTACGGAGGCGGCGTGCCTCATCCTGTCGGTGGACGAGACTGTGCGCAACCCCAAGTCGGAGCAGCCGCAGGCTGGTGGCCCTGCTGGTGGCGCGCCTATGAGCGCCGCTATGGGCGGCCAGGGCATGCGTGGCATGATGGGAGGAGGCCGGGGAGGCCCCAGCGGTATGGGCCGCGGCGTACGTGCTTTCCGTGGCAAGGGTGGCGCATAAGTATCATTGCTGCGCCTTTAGGTAGAGAAGTTGCGGCTTGAGCCCAGTCCAGGCGGCCGCACGCTTTGGTGAGAGGCTTGCGAGTTTGACTTTGACGTGTAGGAGTGACGGTCGTGGTAAATTGCGACGCACATCGACACAAAACATACTTATTTGAGTACAAGTTCGCTGCCCATGAGCTGTAGTTTACCTCAAATGAAGCCATGCCATCTTGACTATCAATTTGGCAGTAAAGTCACGCTTTTGCTCAGTCACTGACGCCACTTCCTGCACCTTGAAGTTGTGTACCAGTTGTGTTCAGGATACTTGTTTTCAGTATGGAATCTTTAAGCGCCGTAAAAAGTCGCGATCTTGCGGTGCGCGTAAGCGGCTACCCACCGCTCATTCCTCATTGCAGGGCCTCCAACACTTTCTATCTGACCAGCGACCTCCCAAGCGACTCGAAACCAAGCCCCTTGCAAGCACCATGTTGAGTAAGTAAAGGTAGAAGCGCTCGATTGCAGCAGATACATCGCTGACAGGTCTGTGCTGTCTGCAGGTCGCATGATCAAGACCAACGCCCGCTACATCGCGGGTGCCGGCGCCGTGACGCTGGGTCTTGCAGCATCCTCACAGTCGCCATCGAAGACTGCGGAGAACTCCAACTCGACGTCCGAGGTCTTGCTGGACATCTCGAGTCGTCTGAGAAACATCGAGCGCGACCTGGGCATCTCTGGCGGCGGTTCCACTGTCTCCAGGGCCAAGTACAACAACTACCCTGTGCTCACTCCGAAGCACAAGAGTCTCATGGCCAAGCACCTGACGCCCGAGATCTACGACAAGCTCAAGGACCGCAAGACAGCCAGTGGCTACACCATCGACCAGGCCATTCAAACAGGCATCGACACGCCCCACCTCGGCGTAGGTGTCGTAGCTGGCGACGAGGAGTCGTACCAGACCTTCAAGGAGCTCATGGACCCCGTCATTGAAGGCTGGCACGGCTACAAGCCAACCGACACCCACAAGACGGACATCGACCCCTCCAAGATCCGCAACGGCAAGCTCCCGGACAGCTACGTCATCTCGACGCGTATCCGTGCTGGTCGCAGTGTCCGTGGCTTGGCCTTGCCGCCTGGAACGTCGCGTGGTGAACGCCGTGAGGTTGAGCGCGTGCTGTCCAAGGCTCTTAGCAACCTCACGAAGGACCTGGCGGGCAAATATTACCCACTGAGCAAGATGACCAAGGACGAGGAGCAGCAGCTCATTGACGACCACTTCTTGTTCCAGAAGCCCGGCGGTGGCACTCTACTGACCAACGCTGGTGCTGCTCGTGACTGGCCTGATGGACGTGGCATCTTCCACAATAACAACAAGACGTTCTTGGTCTGGGTGAACGAGGAAGACCACATGCGCGTGATCGCTATGCAGAACGGCGGTAACATCCAGGAAGTGTTCGACCGCTTCAGCCGCGGTGTCTCGGACGTCGAGAAGGTCGTCAAGGGCGAAGGTCGCGAGTACATGTACGACAACCACCTGGGCTTCGTGTGCACGTGTCCGTCCAACCTGGGCACAGGACTGCGAGCTAGCGTCATGATCAAGTTCCCTCAGCTCTCGAAGGAATCGGAACGCTTCTACGACTTGTGTTCTGCGTTGGGTCTGCAGGCTCGTGGCTCGAAGGGCGAACACTCGCCTCCTGGCCCTGGCGGCGTCTACGATGTCTCCAACAAGGCTCGTATCGGCTTCTCGGAGGTGGAGCTGGTGCAGACCATGATCGATGGTATCTGGAAGCTCATTGAGCTGGAAGAGGATCTGAAGAAGGGCCGCTCGATCGACAAGAAGGTAGCGGCTATCCTGAAGTAAAACGCAAACGTCCAAGGCGTGGCTTGGCCTTGTGAATGTTCGAAGGGTGGCGTGGTGAGTCAGATGAAGCCTCAGTGCACCAGTCAGCGAGGAAAACCTACGCACAGTCGAGAGACACCAACATCAGCCGAAAAGGAAACAAATAAAAAGTGTGCTAGTCTCTTCATCACAACCGTCTTGCATTGCCAGCACACGCTCTCTACCATCCTTGCAGCCAGCAACACAAATCAAACCTGCACAATGCCTGATCTCTTTTTGTCTGCAGGTCTACTTGGACATATTGTCGCTGGTCGAGCTCGTCTTTATCTAATCCTGTTGGAGGCCACTGGCTCGCAGCACGACTGTCGTCCGTACAGAAAGGTTTTCACATATTTACAGAGCCTTGGTGACGCCCTCCATGTGCTTAACAACCTCCAGCACCGACTTGAAGCTGAAGGGCTCCGTGGCAGCCATGTCGGCCAGCACCTTGCGGTTCAATTCGATGCCCGAACCGTTCATCTTTCCGTACAGCTTTGAGTATGAGAGTCCCTCCTGGCGCGCGCCGGCGTTGATCTTCTGGATCCACAGCGAGCGCATGTCCTGCAAGATAGCAACAACAGAAAATATGAATTAACTAAATTTAAATAAAAGAATGAGCATCAATATTGATTGACGCTGATTTCGTACGCGCTTCTTTTGCTTGCGGTCACGGTACTGGTACTGCAGACCCTTCTCCACGCGGTTGATAGCCGTTCGGTAGCACGAGTTGGCACGTCCGCGATAGCCCTTGGCCATAGCCAGGATCTTCTTGTGTTTGGCCCACGACATTCTGCTCTGTAGTAGGTTTCCTGCGTCTACAGTTTGAGTATGGGGTGGAGAGACGCTAGTGGTGACCACTGATTTATGTCCAATCATATAACTTAATGCATATCATTGGTCGAAAATCTCTATTATGGTGGCCGTACAGCAATAGCAAACTGACACCAGCACCATGCTGCACCGACTTGGCCACCGCTCGGCAACCACTTCCGTCCAGCGGTCACTGCGGCGATCTGCCATGACGCAGTCGCACCGCCGCTCCTTCCACTTCAGCTCATCGGCTGGCAAGCCCGCAGCTTCGGATGCCCACAACCGCGTTGCCAGTGCTGCCTCTTTCTTCCTGGACGCCAAGGCTGCATGCAAGGGCAAGCGCTGTGCGCTGGGCAAGGACAACAGCGGTATTGGAGCCAACCCGGTCACGTGCGGAGAGGATTCCTTCTTCCTCACACCCGACGTGGTGGGTGTGGCCGACGGTGTCGGCGGTTGGAACGAGAACGGCGTGGACCCTGGCAAGATATCGCGCTCGCTTATGCGCAACGCGGCATTATTCGTGCGGCAGCAGGCAGCCAATAGCGAGAACGTCACCGCGCAGCAGGTTCTGGCTCATGGGTACAATCAGGCGCTGCTTGATGACGAGGTGGAGGCGGGTAGCACGACTGCGTGCATTGTGAGATTGAAACAGTCACCCGAGGGCAAGCCCGTTATTGAGTACTCGAATCTTGGAGACTCGGGCTTCGTGGTCATCCGCAACGGCGAAATTATCTTCCGCAGTAAGTTCCAGGTACGGAGTGAGCTGTATTAGAGAGTGAGTAGGTGTGGTGACTGACGTAATGTGCGTTGCTGCAGTATTACGGACGTGCTCCTTATCAACTGGCTAAGATCCCTCTGCGATTTAAGCAGTATGGTGCTATTGAGAATCACCCCGATGATGTAAGTCTGCTTAGAAGTTGGATCTGTTATACCAGTAAACTGACGGTTGTTGCTGTAGGCGGACTCGGGTGAGATTGACGTGCAAGACGGAGACTTCGTGGTGCTTGCCACCGATGGCGTTTGGGACAACTTTGCCCCGGACCTTCAGAAAGCATCTTCGCATTTTCCGGTAGGCTATTGTACATCTAATATTCGACGTAGTGCTAACTACTGACATTGTACTCTCGTTGATTGCTTCTTCTAAAGCCGATGCTATCCTGGCGAAGGTATTGGACGGGCGAGCTCGCCTCCTTCGTGGATGTTATCGCTGAGAACCCCGACAAGGCCGCAGAGAACATCGTGCTGGCCTCGCTCCGACACAACCTAAAGCCCGATGACATCACAGTTGTCGTGGCGAAGGTAGTCGTGATGGCATCAAAACTGTAGTTGTACACATATTGCTGTCAAGTGATCTCGACGCGTCTTCGCATAGATTAAACTTTACACTGATAATTCCAAGGTTTTAAACTTGTTTGACAATTGTGAGATTTTGGACGGTTAGTAGTTATACATGCAATAACAGTGTCTTTTTAACTCGGTGCTAGTAGATCCAGAGCGCTCTGAACCATAGTGAACTGGACTGCTTGTGTGTGTGGTGTGCTCTCGCTTGGGGTACCTGGCATCGCGAGGATACTGAGTATTTGGCCGATTGTGGGACATCAAATTGATCTGAATACCGTCATCGCATGTGGGCGTAATCCGGGTAAAAACATCGATGGTCAGCATTAGTGGTCTGGTCTGCAATGAACGTTAGTGATGCGAACTATACATGTACTTGCAGCAAGGAATGCCTATGGCAACTTCGTGAGGAGTAAGCTGACGGACCTGACGGACGACGCATTCGTCTGAAGTACTCCATGTTGAAGTGGATACACGTTAACTATTTCCTCATTCGCTGAAAACGAAAGCAGTTTTTCAGCCAGTCACTTCACACTATTTATACTTGACTTCACTATGGTTCATCCAGGGTCGGAACAAAAGACAGTCTGTCGAGCGATCGAATCGCATTCCCACTTTGACAGTTCCCACGAAGGCTCCATCGTCGATCTCGGACCTGTGCGACTCCATATCTTCCGACCTTGTTCAGCTGATCGTGTAACGTGACGACATCAAGATACGAACAAGTCCAGCTTCTGGCCTTGCGAAGACTTCTTCATATAATATCGCCAGTGTGTCGGACCAGACTGTTAACCGAGTGATGCATCGTGCACCGCCGATTCGCGCACACTCGGACTCGTCGGAGTCTTCACAGCGAAATCACTCCCGCCCCAACAGCGCACGCTTGTCCAGCAAGCCTTCGTCGCTCCATAGCCTGCTCACAGCCCGTCAACGCCGACGCACCTTCAGCGGCACGTCGGGAGAGTTCAACGAGCTACTCAACCTGGAGACAGCGAAGTCAGTTGAAGTATTCCGCGGCGAGGCCAGAGGCATCCTTCACGGCATCTTCTTCTTCCTGTTGCTGCGCTTCGTGCTGGCGCTTGTGGTCACCGTGGGCACACTAGGGGTGGCTGCGGTGATCATCCTTATGGTCAAGGAACCCAACGCATCGCTCACAAGCTACTTGCTCTTCTACTCGTGAGAGTCTGTTATCGTACACCGCTGTTCTATGCTCGTCTTGGTGGGTGGTATTTAATTGGTTGTCGCTTTGAGACAATTCGCGCAGCGCATAGTGAACGACTGTTGTTGCGCCTTGAGGTAAAAGAAATAAATCCCGGGCGATTCTCTACATGTAGATGCAATTTATGTTCCTAGGGAGAAGAGCTAAGCTCTTAGAACTCTACTTTGACCGCGGTGAAAACCTTCCTTCTGGACAGTCATTCGCAGGAATACCAAAAACTAAATACAAAGTCACGCCTTGCATGAAAATGCTCTGAAATTTGAACTGCAATGATATTTTAAAGAAGACATCGTTCTTTTGATAGAATTCATTGAAGCGGTAATGCTTCAAGCGCAACTATTCGCTCGGCACTCCGAAAAGACCACCGTCATACAGTTTCTCCGATGTATATACTATGGTTATAAAATCCTGCAGTGGACCGACTTGTAGCCGTAAGCCAGCGTTTAGAAGCAGGGGTTCCGAAAATACAATATTTATAAATAAAAATCGTTTGAATTTGATAAAATAAATAACTGAAGAGTTAAAGATACAACAATAGATAATTGGTCGTTTTGCAAGTCCGGTTTTGGTGATGCATGCACAGCGTGGTGGGAAAAACTTGCGGCTAAAAGCGAGCAAACGGCAGATGGAGGCATGGGAATATCTGACAGCGACATTTAGTGCGGATATTCAGAAACAAAACAACGCTAAATTAGTGAAGAAATGACAGAAAAATACTGCTAGCACATTCTAATAGTCGAAAATAAATAAAATCACGCAAAAATATCAATATACTCGTATTGTTTTGAGTACTTGTTTTATTTAAATTACTGTTTAGAGGATATAGTACTACCTCCGTCCCACAACACATTTAACATTTGAACTTAGTGTGGTAAACACCTTAATGTTACAATAATGCGATTGATTAAAAAAAAAAACGTTATGGGGAAACTAACTCACGGTCCGCAGCTCGCTAATTCCCCACCAATAGCAACATCCAAGCGCAGGCATGGACCTCGGTCCTGACCCTCCACCTCTAGACCACGAAGGCATCATTCGCTTCTTGTTGGAGCGGATGACGGACGGGAAGCTTCCGCGTGGCTGTATTAACGACGCTGCTGCGCACTTCGGCTGCACACGGCAGACAGTAAGCTCCGTGTTCCACGCCAAGGAAAAGGAGCCGCGCGAAAGCGCCAGAGGCATAGGCCGAGTGTGGATTCCTGACGCCATTCAGGAGGCCGTACCTGCCATCAAGAGGACATCCTACCGAGTTTTGGCAGCTGCCACTGGGATTCCTAGATCCACCCTCGCGCGTGCAAAGGCGAACAAGGACGGCATTCGTCGAGCTACGGGGTCTGTGAAGCCATACCTGATGTCCGATCAAATTGCACCAGCGCATCGAGTTTGCACTTTCATTTGTGGGGGAAGGTGCTGGTACGTTCACTGCTCTAATAAAGTTTTATTGTAATAATTCTGACATTATTTTATATTTTTGTATTATTTGTACAGCAGGAACGTACAGGTTCAACTCTATAAATGACACAATTCATATTGATGAAAAGTGGTTTTACATTTCTAAAAAGAAAAAGTCGTACTACCTGACCAGGGGTTAATATCAGATACTGATATTAAATACTATACTAATATTTCATTGCCGATATCTCGTATCAATATCACCAGATATATACAACCCTAAAGTTTATCAGTATCATTGATACGTGAAAACAAAATAGGCTGATCCTAGATCAGTAAAATGATAACGTATCACTTGAAGCGGTGTGTAACCCCCGCGCTACTAACCGAGTTCATTTCATTGCTCAAGCGACGCTATAGCTTTCTTGGTATACCTTTTTCTCTGTATTCATCAAGAGAAGAGTCGCGATGGCCGACGGCACGTCCATTTCAGACGAGAGCGTCGAGCTACAGTCATGTGCTGTAGCTTCAAGCGACCCAACAACGCCATCTGAGTGTACAGACGTCGACGAGCACGGAATACCGGTCTCCGTCAAGCATTCCAACCAGAACATGTTCACTGCGGTTTGGACCTACATCCACTTGCTTGCGGACCCCATTCCTGACCTAAAGAAGCCAACGAGTCCGTACACTCACACTTTTTATGTCTCGTGTGCAAGAAGAGCCTTGACCCTACTTCAACTGCATGGAAGTCATGCCTCATGAGGCAAAAGACGTCTTCAAACGCTAAGAAGCACATGGTATCAGCACATAAAGACCACCCCTTCACGTTGGAGACGACACAAGTAGGGCAGAAGACCACAACCGGCAAAATTAGGTCTTTTGATGCCAGTACCACTAACAGCCAACAAAAACCGAAGAAGCAACGCAAGATTCAAGAGTCATTTGGAATTAACCGAGATGAAATGAGAATTTTATCTCCGAGATGGCTACTTTCCTCCGGGTTACCGTACACAACACTCAAAAAAGAAAAGCTGTTAAATCTTCTTCGTCGCCTTTCAAGCGATTCTAACCTGGTATTGCCAGTCAGGGAGACCTTTTATTTGTTTGCGGATGGAGACTATCACAACTTTGTCCAGTTGACTTCTCGTACTTTAAAGAGCGAGTTCAACACTGTTTTTCAGCTGCCATTTCTATCGGTGCTTCATGATTTGGCTACCAATGCAGCAAGCATCAATATTGTCGGAGCAACCATCGTCTTCATTGATTCAAAATGGCGGCTACAAACTCTGTCTTTACTAGCTTTGGCAAATTCTTCGGGGCACGCAGCGGCTAGAGTGGCGAACCTCATCAAGGCAAGCATTCAGGCTCGATATGACATCGATATGGATCAATACTCACGCTTTACAGTGAGCGACGCAACTGGATCGACACGTAATGTAGAGACCAATTCAGTAGCACCGATCAAGTCGATTGCTTAATGCACTTGCTGAGCTTGTGTATCCTATATGCAGTTGGCTTAAAAGAAAACACGCGAAACGATGGCCAAGAGATAGTTACGCCTGGCGGTGGGTTTCGTAAGGGATATGGCGTCATTAAGAAGCTGCGAGATATTGCTATATTTTTCAACAGCCCCAACGTCTACAAAAACTGAAATAAATAAAAAAAAATGTACAACCTTCCATCGGCAGACATCAAAGTCGATGCAAAAACCCGCGTTGGGTACGCTGTTTCACTTATGAGACGCAGTGGATACAACTACTACGCGTTAACGAAGTATTTCGAATCTGCTCCGGCCAGTGATCAGAGTGTGTGGGAATGTATTACTTCTGACGATTGGAGTTTAATTAGGCCTAACAGACCAACTTGCTCAGTTTTCTCTCGGAGAAGTTCAAAAGAGGGCATTGCTAGCTCTTACGAACTCTTATTTCGCAATATGTTGTCTTTAGTTGTCGATTCCGAGACAGTGAATTGTTTGGTGCTCGAACGTCCAGACCTGAAGGGAACCGAATACACCCAGAGACGTGTTCCGAAAAAGGTGAGCCAATTTTCTCCTAATAGGAATCGCTGCCGAGAGCGACTTCAACAGCAATTACTACTCAGATTTCCACGTGAAGACATTAACGACGTGAAAGCTCTTCTCCTAGACCACGAATTAAATCCAAACCATCATTCATTGTCAATGATGCTGCCATTCTTGTCCAAGCAAATGTGGAACTGGAACTGGAACATGAAGCAATCTACAAAAAGATATTTGCTCAAGAGACCGACGAAGAGTGCAAAGAAATTCACTGTGAACCTCCCCAGCACTCTACTCTTAGCTTTAACGTTAACCGCGGTGCTGTTACTGCGTTGTTGGAGATTGAGGGGACATGAACAACGAATCTTCCAAAATGATCGGGTTTAGAGACCAAAATTCGTGGAATCACTGGATCAGTTTAAATGTGGACTGGCCGGGTGTCACTACCAACGGCGGAAAGTACAATGCACTTCTACTCTATCGGCAAGTTGACGTACTTACGTGGTTTCGAGACCATGGAGCAAGCAAATTTCCCGCTGTCGTGATCTTAGCCAGAATTTATCTGGCAAAACCACTTTCTACAGCAATTCAGGAGAGGTTTTTCAGCTTGAGCAGCTATGAAGTGAACTTGTTACGAACTAGACTTGAAGACAAACGAGCAGGAATGTTGTGTCTGATGAAGGCTAACTGGCGCGAGTACAAGACCTTACTGAAGGAAGACAAGTTAGAGACAACAGACCCGGCCTAAGACACTAAATAAAAAAAAATGATACGATACGTTGATATTGATATTGATATCATATCGATATCGATGAGGTGGAAGATCAAGGATAACTGATACAGAAAACACAGTGAGCTAGTGATGGTCAATATCAACGATACTAACGAAATCGTCGTTGATATGAACCCCTGTACCTGACAGACAACGAGGAAGTTCCGCACTTTGCTGTTCCTAACGCCAATCATCTCACCAAAGTACTCTTTTTGGTAGCTGTTGGTCGACCTCGTTATGATCCACACAGCCGTGCGTGGTTCGATGGGAAGCTGGGTTGTTGTGTAGATGTGATAAATCCACGGATTAGCAGTCTTAAAACTTGGTCTAACTCAATACTACTTGGGGATTGGTTGAAAATATTCTATCGATATGTTAATGTCCAATTAAGTTCGAAATTGGAGCGGTTGTTAAATCAAGAATGGTTTCGATTGGAGGATATATTACTTAGTGAGATGAGTCCAAAACGATGCGCCAGTGTGTATTCTGTCGATGGTACAAACCTGGTGGACGTAGCCTTTTTATTGATTGCATAGCGTAAGTTTTGGTCAGATGCCTCAATTATCGCCTCATTCCGGCGATGTTATCTACCTTTTACGACGCCTTAATATAACGCTGCAGCTACCAACACTAAGCACGCACACCTAGCTAACGTTTTCAAGCTTCGCGAAGTTTAGAATTTGTTTCTAGAAAATTTAACAGGCATCAAGAAAAATGTTAAATGTCTTGTGGGACGGAGGTAGTAGTTGTTAGTTCTGTTGTTGATCACCAAAACGATGCAGATACGCTTTATTTGAAGCGATTGCAAAGTGACTGAAAGATTCGAAATTTTTTGTCCTGGGAAGTAATGTAATATGATCTGAATTTACTAAATGCTCATATGCTGCTGCTGCAAAGCAGGCGCAGGAGATGCGTTGACAAAGGGCGTTGCTTTAACTCATGAACAGGGGGGTACACTTTGCTATATGTCGGAGCTTATATAAAAGATTAGTATATGCTTCTCCTCAGTAGCATGCGATCGACGAGCACCGTGTGCTTGATGTAGCAGCGGGTGAAAGTGACAAAAAAAATCCACGCATCCTGCGTCTAATCCACAGAAGCATTGTACACCGCTATTTATTGAAGGCCGTACAGCCACCGAAGCATGATTTCGGTTACTACGTTGGCCCTGTAGCCTACCTTAGGAGTCACTCACCAGCTACCTATTGGATCTTGCACAACGCTTTCCTAGAGCTGGGAATCACAACGTTGTTTTCGTCCGCCCTACATTTACGCTTACCATTGGCTAATGCATTACCGCACTTAGCGGAGGTGGGCGGTTCGAACTACACGCATGAAATTTATAAGATTACCGGGGTTTCATACACCCTTAGTCTTTATTTTACCGAATAACTGGTTGGTAAAAGCGGTAGGCAGTATATGTACTAGGTGGAGCTCCGCAATTTGGCGCCACACAAGATAGGTGGTGGCTATACGTCGCTACTTCAAAAGCACTACATGGTCGAATGGCTCAAGGGCCCGACGGATTTTAACATCATGATAGGGAAAAAAAAAAACGTCGGGCAGTGACCGAGTGGGCTTCGGCGGAGCACATATTAAACTTTCCTGGCTTGGCAAAATGTCGGAGAACGTGTTCATTTCATGTGTCAAGGCCTTTATCGACCAAGGTGAGCCTATTCCAGCCAAATACCCAGTCAAGTGGGATGCCCACACATGGTCTGTTCAGCAGACATGAATTCCAGCGGATTAGGCCCATTTTAGCGAATTTTGGGGGGTTAGCGGATTGGCCAATCCGCCATTTAATTTACTGAACACGTTTGGCGGGTTTGGGGGGGAGGGGTATGTCCATCCGCTATCCACTGAACTCGAACGGATAGCGAGATAGTTTGACGGATTAACGAAAGGCGCCTCCAGAAACACATTTTTATCACAGACATATGTATCGAATAAGCAGCAAAAACATCAACTTCTGATGCACTCTAGACAACTACCGCGCTATCTCTTCCTGTTAGAAATCTCAAATAGTCGAACCACATCTCCTGTGCTACCTTGACGCGGAACTCTTGCAGGTTAACATCGTCAGCAGGGGGTGTCTTTTGCGTCAGTATCACCGTCGTCAGTGTTGATTTCGTTTACCGATATGTCTGGGCTGCAAACTCACCGTGGTTTTCCGGATAAAATTATGAATGACGTTGGTGGAAGCACACAAGAGCGCAGCGACGTCGAGTACATCGAAACATTCCTCGCTTCACAAGGTCAGAAGGGCACAATCCGCAGTAGCACAGAACCAGCATCAGAAAAGTGGACACCTACGAAGCGGTTCACCCATAGTGAAATGTTGAACGAGAATCTTTTACGGATCGCAGAAGCTCATGAAACGATAGCTCAGGCGACTATAATGCGGCAAAGTCGCGAAGAATCCGGCCCCCATAACCCGAGTCGAACTGGCATTCATTTACTGTGCCCAACAATACTTTCTGCGGATCTATCAATCCGCAGTATGGATATATTCTGCGGAAATGGCAATCCGGCGGATCAACACATCGGATTTGCTGAACAGACCCTGAATATTGTCTATTTTTATATCACTTAAGTTTTTATTAAACTGTTTTGATCAGCAGACCAAATAAATTACCAGGTTTTAATTCATGGAAATCATATCCCCTGTCAGATCCTTCCTTATTGTCACCTCATGAAGTCATGAAGCCAATTACTTAACAGCGTCACTAAAAAAACCTTCATTGCGGTTCGAGTACTAGCCGGACCGAGATGCTTGGACCGTCAACAGATGGCCCAGCGTCTGAGCTACAATGTAGACACAATCACCTCTTTACATAGTCTTATCAGTCAGCAAAAAATGCTGGAATAACGACACGAATAATCGCAGAGAGAAAAAATGGTGATGACGAACTACCATTGTTTTTACTCTCCAGAAACAACAAGGCCTCTTCAAAGGAAAGCGCACGAGGGATCTTGTTGCAGCATATCTGGGCTGCTCTCAATCGACGGTAGAGCGCGTTATGGCCTTCTACAACGAGTTTCCCGATACCAACTTTGAGATAATCTGAGCCATTTTTTATTTCACTGATATTATCAGATAACTCAAAAGAATTATATTTAGATGTTGTGTAGCCGGACATCAACAACTGTGGCTGTCCGAGGCGTATGACACGGAAGCACTTGCGCCGCTTATTTGCGAGTTCTTCATTGAACAGAATCGCACTGAGCAACCTACGACGGCTCAGAAATATGCGGAGAAGTGTCTCGTAAGTGTGGAGTGCATTTGAAATTGGGCACTATCACCCATGTGTCGCATCAGCTAGGATTCTACTACCTGAAAGGCGAAAAGAGGCACATATATGCGGAGTCGGAAGGCAACGTAGCATATTGAGATGCGTATCTGTGCAAGAAGCTGGCGAACCCGGGTCAATCTCCCAGGGCCAAATATGTCCGTGCGTTTGGGAGTGGCTTGACCCGAGGTCTACCTTGACGAATCCTTCTGCAATGTCAACCGTGTCTCTGGCAAGACTAATACTACGAGTTCGGTACGCTACCGATGGATCCCTTCACCACCGAGTGGGCGCTGAAGATCCAAGGAATGCTGAAGAAGTGGGGTACGACTGAGATGGAGCTTCGCTTCAAGGCGTACACTGACGTGTTTCACAAGAACAGAATTAAGGAGAAGATCGAACGTCTTCAGGTGTCCCTAGAAGACTGGTAATGTAGATTACGGCTTAGGACAACGTAGTTATTCATCGCTAACTCGTAACATCGAACGAATTTCTCATCTTGGTGTTGTAGTTGTTCTGGTAGTCCGTAGATTCGTAGCCAGCGTAGAATCCACACAGCAGGATCAGGAAGCCCGTTGGGTTCCCACAGCTTAATGTACCAGAACCACTCACGGACTTGTTCGTCGGTTGTTGGGAGTAGGGTCCAGTCGATCGTAATCGGCATCTTGAAGAATGACAAGCATTACCGTAAGGTCCAACGGACCTCAACTGACCAAGGTTGTGTGGTAGTGTAGTGTGAGCACGGCTCACCTTCGATCTTCTACGAAGGCTTGGCGTGGTGAATGATCCATCCTGCGTAGGAGAACTTGCCGTTCCTTGGAGCGGCGTACTCGTCACCATGCTTGCGCGGTCCGCACAACAACTTGAGCACATCAGTGCGTTGCTTGGGAGCAAGCAGAACTAGCGCGATGTGAACATGATTCTCATCACTCCAACCTAACTTGCGATTAGTGTGTTGATGTTCCCGCTTGTTTGGAGACTCAACTCCACTAACGAAGACGTACTGGATGTCATCCAGTGCCAACACGATGTTGTTGATGATGTTCTGTGCACTAAGGGTAGCACTAGCATCAAGTCGGATGTCCCATTCGGTAGCCAAGCGCACTTGGCGTTCCTTGTAAGACGCAGTCTTCTTGAACAGGAAGTTCTTGCCGTACGTTCGCATTCTTTTTAACTGGATTAAGTGAATTCAGGAATAAATGCAACACGGCACGAACTCCCCATCGACGATGGGTTCAGAACAAGCCAGTTGTTCTTGGTTGAACTTGAACAAATTCAAGTGTTTAGAACAAGCCAGTTGTTCTTCTTGAATGTGAATGCAAGCATTCATCAACTTTACCATGGTAAGGAGCATCATTCGCCATCTTGCCAGAAGGGAAGTAGATGTTAAGCGACGTCACGGGGACGCGATCGCTAGCGACTTCCGTGTGCATGGTAGACGTAAGCGACACAAGACAGCCATGGCGAAAGATAGTGATCAAGACATGAACGGTCCTAGCCGTAATGAGTAGGTGGAGGCTCACATGATTCCTGGAGTGGATGGCAAGCTCCGCTTCGGCTTCCCTCAACGAACCACGACCTTCTGCGGTACGTGGACACGTACAACACGATTAGCACCAGCGGTACGATCGTTACTCAAGTGATGCGGATGAACAGTGTGTTCGGTCCGGACTTCACCAACGTGGGTCATCAACCCATGTGGCATCAATCTATACCTTGTACCGAGTACATGGTGCCAAGTGACTGTGGAATTCATTCCAAGGCCAACTTCTGACACAGGGACCATCGGTCCCTACCACATCGGCATCGCCGGTAGTGATGCAAGCACTGCGTTCACATCTAACAACGCTGCGCGTGCGGAGATGTCGGATTCGATTAGCAGGCTAATCGGACGTGAGGATGGCACTCAAGTTCTTAAGTGGCAGTACTGCCCCGAAGACACGCTTGGGGCTCCTGTTGATGATGATGTTGCTAGTGCTGTTGTCAGCGCTAACCCTACACAGACGTACTTCGCACATGTGTGGTGGGCTGACCAGACTGCTCCGACTACGTCGAACATGGACATCCGAATCGCAGTTAAGTACAACGTGGAGTACTACCAGTTGAAGCAATAGTTCATCAACTAAATTAATTCACTTCTTCAACCCTAATCACTCATTACATTCATTCTTACATCTTCTAGCGTAGCATTACCAACACACTTAACCTACCTAGGTAGTGGTCGGTCGGTCGGTCAGCGACCGATCAACATGGCTGATAGCAGAACGAATTCGTTGTGGTAGATCCAGAAAAGGTCCACGGTAAGGTACTTTGCATCATGTATTTGAAACTGGTGTAAGCTTCATCAGACTAATTTCCTCTTACTTTTTGTTATAATGATATTGTTGCTATGTCAGTGCATGATTATTGCCGCTGGTATTATTGTGAGCCGAGGTGCTGTCATTACGGGCCACTTTGTGGAGAACTGCATCCGGGTCTGGAACTCGACCTTTAAGAGAGGCAGCAATGGCGAGGAGGACTATCACGGGAACTTCGATGAAGAGGATCGAGCTCTGGTTCGAGCAACTTTGTCAAACGCTGCAAAGCTACGATGCATGCAATATCTATATGGACGGTGATTCGCATCACAAGCGAGACCTCAACAAGAGCCCACGCAAGAGTGGCTTCGTATGCACGGTACGCTTTGTTTATACTACGTATTTATTATTGTAGCGGCAAAAAATGATGGGGCTAGCTAATCCAAAATGAATTGTTATCTTTGGATGAACGGCGATAACTTCATCAAAATAGCCTTAAATTGAGCGCAAAGGGCGCGAATAGAAAGCTGAGGTTTCGTAGCTCCTTCTTCCATAAATAAAGACTCTTCATCTCTTTCATTTCAGGAAGTGCAATGCAACGCAGACACCAGCTCAGCCCGGAGGAGAAAACCCTAGTTTGCAATGTATATGATTATTTCGTCGCCGAGGTCAAAGCAGGCAGAAGTGGGACTCGCGCCATCGAACTATAGAGGCAACGCGCTTTGGTAAAAACAGAGTTTATCTGGTGCTCCGGGCAAGGAACTTCGACCCAGACACCAATTTCGTCGAGGTGCGCTTGTCATTTTTGCCCATGTAGGGTTAAAACAGCTCTGTTGTGATATCATATGGTAATCTTATAATTTAATTTTTTCGCTAGTAGAATGCTGTAGCTGATGAGGAAGACGGAGAGTAATCTCTCTTTAAATTTATACAAATCCTTTTTTTAATTTTGAACCTTTTATTCTTAACGCGTGTTTGCACGACTGTTTTGCACTTTCCACGCTCTAGACCAATAGAAAATCAGCATTTTAGCAACTGTTTCCCCGCTTAAATGTCCTCGGAGACACCTTTTGGTGGAGCCTGTAGCGGCAAAACTACGTTGAATTAGCCGGTTTTAACACCAAAAGCATACTCAAAATGAGCGATTTTACCACATATCTAAATGTCATATCTGGTTTTATCAAAATTGAGCCCAAATTGTGGCTTTGATTACTAGCCCCTTCATTTTCTGCCGCTACAATAGCAAATTCGAACTTTGTTTTTTCGTATTTTAAAGTAAAGCCGGTATTGTGTAGTAATCATGGATAAGTTGCTACAGCTTGTGGACTTTTATCGTCCAGCCCCGTCGTACAAAGCTGTGGCTATTGATGCTACCTATGGGCATGCTGTGTTTTACACGCCACCCTACCATCCCACGTTCCAGTCCATCGGGCTAATTTGGGGAACCGTTAAGAACCGCATTGCGATGGCTCCAGCGAAGAACGGTAAGGATGTGGCGGCCAAGGTCGTCGAAGAACTTGAGGAGTGCAGTGAAGACTGGATGAAGGTGTACCGCCACGTGCAAGAAAGGAGAACGCGTTTGCTTGGACATAGATCTCTAGAATTGTATTCGAGAATCAAAGGATAGGGCGAGACTGTTTAGCCAGTTACACCAATCCGACGACGACCAAGGCTTTTTTTCTTGTTATGCATGTGGCTGGAATGTGAGATTGTGTGTCGCCCAGTAGAAATGGCTCACTACTGCAAAACAAGGAGAACCCTTATCACCAGAGTTTTAGCACTGACGAGGTGAGGAATTATAAAGCTCCATATCTTTAAAACCACTGTAAATTGGGCGGAATGGACCTGATTTTCGGAATCAGAGCGCGATTTTACCCCCTATATCTAACTATCGATGTAGGTTTTTTTATGCTGTGACATATTTCTGTACGTGGAAAAACCTGGGATCATGATTTCTTGAGACGACAACAGTTCTGAAGTGAATTTCAGAGAATACTAAAAACATTTATTGGTCGAGACGCGCCAGCACATACTCAGTTTTAGCTGACTAATTGTGATGATACTTATTTTATAATAACTTAATTTGAACTATTTTCTGCAGATACACAAATTTGTATCTGTGAACGCACTCCTCTCTAACACGGAGGGGGTGACGAAGATCGTGAAAAAAAAAACAATCGGAAAGGAGATACTAGTCGATTTCGAGCTGATCCTTGACGACTGCAGCTTCGGCACAGAGCAGTGCCAGGGCGTCTACGGATGCTACGAATCACCAAGAGGTTCACGATACCCGCTTTTGGACGTGGCTCCCGTGGTGGATGAGTCTGGCGACCACCTAATCGTAGAGAGCCACCTGAGAACAATTGAGCACTTTCTACCTTTTCTTTTTGGATAATCTATTCTTGGGGTCAAGTTCATCATGGTCGACAACTGCGTAGTCAACAAGAGGCTCGCTCGCCTTTTAAAGAAGCCGCTCTTTGTCCGTGCAAGTCAAACACTCAATCTGCATTATGCGCAAACTCCTCTATTATCTCGAAACTGCGCTCAATAAACAAGAAGCTGATGTGCAAATTGTGCACTCTGAACCAAGCGGTGAAACTGAGGATGCTAACTTAGTCTTGTATGTTCTGATACAAGAAACTGATATTGACTTTTGTATTGAACTAAAATTGTGTGACCTTATTCTAAATAGAGCCAAGACCAATTTGGTTCCAGTCCTCCGCAACGATACATTACCGGCCATTTGCAACCGGGTTGTATTTCCGGCGATTCTCGGTCTGTGATTGGCCAGAAGCAAGGTATCGACAAGAATTTTGGTCGGCACCGTGGCTGAGAAGTGGTGTGTAAGTTTCAACTTGGGTTGTGTGCACCATAGTAAAACAAAGCTTGAGTTGCAACTCAGACTCTATACAAACACCTTGTCAGGGTTGCAAATCAGGTAGACGTGCACTGACTGAAAAATTGAAAAAGCAGATCACTATCCTACCATGACAAGTCGCTATAAGCCCGAGCTCCTCAAGTTCATGTCCTACAAGGACGGCGTCGAGTACAACAGCGATCACGCCTTCACTATGGAGGAGTTGCTTGCTATAACCCCCGAGCACGTATGCCACTGGATGAATGAGCTAGCGTACGGAAGCCCAGTCCCCAGCGACGACATGAGACCTGTTCATCGCAGAGATGCCACTTTAGAGTTCTCGAAGAAAGCCATATCATCCTTCATGCCCCGAATAAACGCATCGTGGGATCCTGTGACAGCGCACGGAAATCCTACGCGATCAGACGCAGTTAATAAGCTGATTAAGCGAGTGAAGAAGTTTGAGGTTCGCAGAGAGGGTGTCGAGCCAAAAGCGCGGCGAAGCCTGGAGTTTGACGAGTTCCTGAATTCGTTGTCTCTTGTGCGCTCAAAATGGGGGAAGGGTGAGACGGCGTACATGGTGAGCAGCGTCCTTACCTTGCAGTGGCACATTATGGCTCGTATAGATGACATGATGAAGTTACAGTTTGCCAATTTTGTGCCGAATAGGCAGTACCCTTCCACGCTATTGTGCCAGATGCGATGGTCGAAGAACATACATGAAGAACGAGACGCCCCTGAGCAGATTGTACTCGGCAGTATGGACCCAAAAATGTGTGCGTTACTCAACTTGGCCGTCTACATTGAGACGAGCACGAATGTTTCTAACTCGGAGTTCATCTACGGTCACCCGAAGGATGGGAATCGCGTGGTGCGTCGGTTTCTGGGAGACATCATTACAAACACCGCTTTTAAGAATATGAAGACAGGGAAACTTGGAACACACAGCTTTCGCAAGGGTGCAGCAACGTATGCTTCTCGGTGCGGAATGTCAAAGGACTTTGTTAACCGCCGTGGTCGCTGGAGGACACGCAAAGGCGTTGTTGACGTCTACATTGACAACACGCAGCCATACCCCGATGCCTGCACCGCAGCAGCACTGGCGGGACCACTAGGTCCATGTTTCTACGTACGCAAACATGGGATTGACTGTGTTTCTCCAACACTATTAGTTGACCAGATAGCACCTACAATCAAACAAGTGATGGGTGAGGCGGTGGCAACTACACTGGCGATGCCGTTGTTATGGGCAGCTATAGAACCCTCTGACAACTACACATACGAGCTCATTCCAGATCGACTCAAGCAGAAAATTATTGGCGCTTACGTTAATTCGGGAGGGAGTGAATCTCTAAATCCGATAGACCGAGTGGGGTTTTTTGTCATGGGCGATGGCTCGCAATCTCATCACTATCGATACTCAAGATAGTGCAACAGACGTTAATCGTCGAGGAATTATTGCTGGTAGCAGCACAGGAGGAGAAGGTTCTTGCCGAGAGTTTGCTGCTCTTCACTCGCAGTATGCAGCCGTACAGCGTTTAGTGTCAGAGCTTATGAGCGAGATGCAGCGGTCTCGACATGAAAACCAACGTGAACTGCAAAAGATTCAGGCGATATTGAAGCGAGTAATGATGCAGCCAGCAGTCCGCTTAGACCAGACCTCCTTAAAAGCGGCATTTCGCTATAAATAGCGGCAATGCGCCTTAAATAGACCTTTTGGAAGTGCCGCATTTTACCGACCTTTCAGTATAGGAAAACTGCTGACGAAACAATGCAGAGGCTACAGCCTAGCGTCTCCAGTAAGCCTCCGTCGCGTAAGACACCCTTCCAGCCTGCTCATGAGCTCCAGTATGGACTAAAAGTCATGGCGAAGGATGCTAGCGGTGTAGTGTGCTCCGTGCGCTGTCAGTTTTGCAAATATTTTGGGAGAGAGGAATCGAAGAACGGCAAGAGACGACGAACCCAAAACCAAAAGTTTTACAAGCCCCCATATCGACCTCAATACTACACAGATCATAACACAACAGCTCATGGTATTAAGTGGGCGCAGTATCAGGCCCTGAGCAGCGACGAGAAATCGGGCATTTTTCTCTGGTCAAATTTCACACAACAATCAGTTATCCTCCCACTACGAAGTCGAGTCTTCTACACTGAGCTTTGACATTCCGGAGCATATAGTGACTGATTTG